CCCAGATCCTTTGGATTATTTGTGTACCATTGGATTATCAGGCACCATGTTAGATGCTGGGGATTCATACAAAAATAAAAATCTCTGCCTTTAAGGAGTTTACATTCTACTGGGGGTGGGTGCTGGGAGTACAATAATATGTACCCAGGTAGGTAAATACAAGCAATCTACAAAGTAAGTTTGTGGAGTAGGAGACCACTAGCAACAGGGGGAATCAGTAAAAGCCTGTTATAGGAGGTAGCTCCTGACCTACCATAGTTCACCACATAATCATCACCACTGAACAATCGCCACACCCTGGTATGGTTTTTTTTTCTTTTTCAGTCCAAAAATTGATTTATAATCTTTCATCACGTAATCTTCACATGGCATAATTCTGCTTGTCATGCCACTTAAAAGGTGAACAGAGCAGCAACGTATTCACCAGTGGCATATGGATATGCATTTATCTCTCCTGCAGCATTGAGAGCCAGGAGCCTAGAATTCTCAGCCCACGCGCTGTATTCAGTTTTAACTCATATTCATGAGTATTTCATGCATCCTAATCTTGTATCAAAGACAGTTTAGTAAGAAATGATTTTTAAGTAATACTGGCATAATTTTTTAAAGTTTCACATAATAGTCGCACCCCACTTTTTTTGCAAAAAAAAAAATGGCATAAAATCTGTGACAATTATGCAGTGAAATGCAGTAGATTCCAGGAGGTAGAAATTAGGGGGAACATTCCAGGCAGGAGGGGCCAGCCTGAGCAAAGAAGCAGAGTTGAAGTTTGGAGATGAAAAGTGTATGGGCAGCAGCTAGTTTGGCTGGAACATTGAGTGCATGAGGAGGAATGCTATGTGATCAGCCTGGAAAACCAGGTTCAAGCCAGATTGTGCGATGGCTTTAAATGCCAAGGAGAGAAGTTTGTATGTTATCCTAGAGGCTTCATGCAGCCGCTGAAGCTTCTCGAATAAGGAAGGAGGTGGCACAATCAGACCTATCATGTCATGGTATCAGTTTGGCAGCTGAGTGGAAAAATGCATTGAAGTGGAAAGGGACTGGAGACAAGGACAGTAATTATGAGGTTGCTACAGTTGATCCAAGTGAGAGGCAGTAAGGGCCCAAACTAAGATGTTATCCATGTGAGTGGAGAGGAAGGGACAGGTGCAAGAGATGTTGTAGAATTAGGATCAACAAGAAATAACAACTGTGACAGTCCTGGAGTCAGGAGGACCTGAGTTCAAATCCAGCCTCCAATGCTTGACACTTCCTAGCTGTGTGACCCTGGGCAAGTCACTTAACCCCGATTGCCTCACCAGAAAAAAGAAAGAAAGAAAGAAAAGAAAAAAAAAGAATTAACAACTGATTGTATGTCAGTGGTGATTAGTAGTGAAGAGTCAAGGATGTCTGACTTCTAGGGTACAAATATATAATTATAATATAATATAAAATAAAATACAAACCTAATTGACTATTTTGCACAGACATGTTGAGTTTGAGATGCACAGAAGACATCAAAGTGGGGGACTCCCAATAGACCATCAGAGATATAGGACTGGATTCAGGAGACAGATAAGGGATGGCTATTTGGGAGTCATCTGCATGGAACTAATCATAATTGAACCTGTGGTAGCTGATGAGATTACTTAGAGTCTATAGAGAGAATAGAAAGGTGTCCAGGACGGAGCCCTGAAGCATACCCATGCAAAGTGGGCAGGGCATGCCTGATAATCCTGTAGAAACTCCAGAGCAGGATCAGTCATATCAATAGGAAGAAAAAGCATTATCATAAAAACCAAGGAGGGAGACGTAACCCAGAGAAGCGAGTTATAAACAATGTGAGATATTGAAAGAGGTCAGGAAGAAGGAGGCCTAAGAATGAGGCCTTTGGATGTAACAATGTGTTATTGGCGCCTTTGGAGAGAACCATTTCAGACAAATAGTGGAGTCAGAAGCCGAAAGTCAGAGCCCTGAGAAATAGATGGAAGGAGAGGCAGTGGAGACTAAAGAATAAAGCTATGAGGGGGAAGAGAAAGAACCATGGCGTGAGGAGACTTGAGGGTCATCTGGGCATATTTGTACGTAACTTTGTGTAGCTGTGTTGTGTGAAAAGTTGTTTGGGCTTCCTTCTCCAAGGCTGCTCTCTGCCCGTGAAAGGGCACCTTAATTCAGTAGTTTTACTCATGTTTCGTTTAGAAGATCCTGTTTCCTCATTCTCTGATTCAGAACTGCTCTTTGATGGCCTTGTAGGAGGATTACCTGGTCTTTTAGTAGTTGTGCTTGAAGATCATCCAGGAATTTCCCTAGTAAACAATATATTAATTCATCTTTATGTAGACACTAGATATAGAAGAAGCACCCTAGACTTGTGGCCCCAGTTGACAGTAGAAGTCCATTTGCTTCTTAATGACAATCTAATTCAGGATGAAGCTTCATAGTGCTCCAGCTCATTCTGATTTGAGTGACGTGGAAAATAGAATAATCCCTCACGTATGCCTGTAAGTCAGGCAAGGTTCTCCTTTCATTGAAGGAAGAGGAATGAATGGTTCTTCCTTCCTTTTTGTGAGCAAACACTGGTCAGTTCCTTATGGTTGTTTTGATTTGTCCATCCATTTAGACTGAGAGTAGTGAGTGCATCAGGGAGCTAGGTGGCACATTTAATAGTGTCAGGCCTGGAGTCAGGAAGATTTATCTTCCCGAGTTCAAATCTGGCCTCAGACACTTACTAGCTGTGTGACCCTGGGCAAGTCACTTCACTCTGTTTGCCTCAGTTTCCTCAACTATAAAATGAGCTAGAGAAGGAAATGGCAAACTGCCCTAGTATCTTTGCCAAGAAAACCCCAAGTGGGATCACGAAGAGTCAGAAATGACTGAAAAGACTAAACAGCAAAGCAAGTGCATCATTGTTTTCTGAAGCACCCATCATGCTATTAGTACTCAGTGAATGCTAATTCATCTAAGTAATGGTGATTAGCGGAGCATGTGACTTTCACATAGGATGTGCCTTTTCTTATCCATATGGTAAACTTTGATGGCTTATGGATTTCCAAATATCATTATTTTAGCTCATAGTTCCTATAATGAGAGCTTGGTATAGTGGATAGGGTACTAGATTGGTAGTTGAGAAGACCTGGGTTCAAATGCTACCTCAGCTACTTACTTGTTGAGGCAAGTCACTTAACTTATCAGTACCTCAGATTCCTCATTTGTAAAATGAAAGAGTTGGTTTCTTTGGCCCATCCTAAGACCTTCCAGGTCTAAATATATGATCCTAACTTCTTTATTATTTATTATAATAACTATTATTACATTTTTTGTAATTGTAATTATAATTATATTATTATATTCAATTTACATATATTAGAATTATATAGAGTATATAATTATATGGTTATATATGATATAACTTATGTATGATATAATTATACAATGTTATATAATTATATATTACATTATATAATATATAATTTGTATCATGTTATTCCTTTCCTATACATAATTATGTGTGTTATTATATATTATAATAATAACTATGAGCTAAAACCATGTGAATGTGATGATCTTAGATGAAAGTCCTCTGTCACATACTCTGCTACTCATCATTACTTGGATGAATTAGCATTCACTGAGTACTTTTGTAAGCTACAGTAGCCAAATATTAAAGGTGTGCCTGGTAATGCAGATAGACCCATCTTTCCCAGAAATGAACCCACGTCCTAAAAGTTAGACTTGTAATCCAAACAAAAGCAGTATCATCCAAATTGAGATTATTTTATCATAAAATGAACTCCCTCATGTCCTGATGTATTTGTATCAACTGGAACATCTCATGTATGTGAGCCCCTCAGAAAAGCTACCCCTGGACCAAAGTAACCTGGGGTCCACCTCTATTCAGAACTGCTTGTGAGCTTTCACTGGTGTATTTACTTTTGTCTGGTACAGGCACTATGAAATTCACCACCTGCTTGGTGGAAACACTGGGATTAGAATTCAAGCATTATGTGCTTTTCCCACCATACCAAGATATCTTCTCTGGCTTAATCAGTGCAATATATACAAGCTTGGTTATTATCAAATGTTATCTTATCTTCATAACATTAAAAAATTATGTTTAAAATGCTTTGAGATTCTTTAAGCACTATATTTTTGGGAGCTGTTTTCATACCACCCTTAAATGGCCTGAAGACTTAATGACTTATTTACAACTCAAAAAATGAATGAATGAATGGATGAATGAATGAATGAATAAAGCATTTATTAAGTTCTTGCTATGGGTAAAGCACTGTGCTAAATAGAAATAGAAAAGTAAGACAGTCCTTGCCCACAAGGAGCTAGCATTCTAGTAGGGGAGATAATGTGTATGGAATGTTTCAGCTCCAAGTTAGATGGAAGATTCCCAAGGTTCTTAGGGTACAGTGGCAAAGAAGATGCTATGCTTCATCTTCAATATCATTTCCACTGATAAAATTATGTAAGTTTCCAATACTGAACCATTTAACGGTGCCAAGGACTTTCCTTTCTGGATCTTCAGTAGTGGTGGGAGTAGCATCTGCAACAGCAATTGCCAGTCTGTGTCTCCACAGATGGGGCAGCTAGGTGGTGCCATGTTGCACAGAGCGCCAGGCCTGGAATCAGGAAGACTCCGCTTTGTGAGTTCAAATCTTGCCTCAGATATTTCCTAGCTTTGTGACCCTGGGCAAGTCACTTACCCCTGTTTGCCTCAGTTTCTCATTTGTAAAATGAACTGGAGAAGGAAATGGCAAACCACTCCAGTATCTTTGCCAAGAAAACTCCAAGTGGGGTCACAAAGAGAAAGACACAGATGAAATCACTGAACAATAACACATCAATACAACCAGTTCCTCTTGAGTACTTTTCAGTTCTACCCAGCCTCGTGGACCTAAGCTTACATACCTTTCAACCGGGGGGGAACTGAGATGTATTTAAAATACTTTTCACTCTTGCCCATAGTTAAAAATCTATTTTATGTAGGACATTTTGGTCTTTATTTTTTTTAGGGCCCTCTCTCAAGATGATCAGGACGACACTCACCTCAAAATGGAGGATATAATCCAAATAGTAAGTGTGCCCACATTTTTATCCCATCACCATAGGTTAAGTCTTTGAGCATGAGTAGCCATTACCACAGAGTAGCCATTGAGTTAGCATTTGACTGGATGCTCCTTGAAAAGACCATCACTATGTTGGGGGGCATAGTTTCAATTTGTTATGAAGGTTTTTTTTCTCTCTTTGTCTCTCAGTGGGAGGGGCAGGAGGGAAGTTGTAAGGTTTACGAAGTGCTTTCTCTTTTTTTTTAATTAATTTTTTTTTAATTAACAAGCATGCATTTTAATAGAAAAAAATTTAATTAAAAAAAAAGAGAGAAAGCGTTTTGTAAACCTTAAACCTTCTCTAAATATGAGATGACACTGTATGGCCGATTCTCTGAGGTGAACTTGTCACCATCTCTAAGCCTGGCTTAGAGTTGTTATGTTCAGTGATCAGTGTTGGGGTTTGAAGATTTTGAGCTCTTAAAAACCTACTTGTTTCAGAAATGGAAGCTGAAAGCCAATGTTTTGCCACAGTAGAAGTAAAATGTGGTGGTGTGCTCTCAGTCCTGACCCAAATGAGTTAGAAGACAGGCTCGGACTGCAGAAGAACCACTCTCACTGGAGACAAAGGACCTGGGTTCAAATCATGACTGATCCATTATTGTTCTGTATAAACCTGGCTAAGTTATTTAACTTTTCTAGGCCTCAGTTTATGTACCTATAAAATGGGCTGGTTGGAGTAAATTAACTCTGAGGTCCCTACTAGCTGAAGTTCTATGATCTGACGACAAGATTAAAGAAACGTTTATATAGTTAATGTTGAATTTCTCTTGCTTTCTTGCAGCCTGACTGTCCTAAAGCGGAATGCTTTGAAACCCTGTCAGCCATGGAACTTGCTGAGCAGATCACGCTGTTAGATCACATCGTGTTCAGGAGCATCCCCTATGAGTAAGTGCCCACCACCACAGCTCCCAAGAACCTCTAGAGTTGCTCTTTGGGCGGGCATCCCTGCCTCTAGTTGTTGGAGAGGTCCGTGCCAATGCGCATGGGTACCCTCTGCAGGAGCAGGCTTAAATGTTGACTTGATCCTACTGAAATGTATTCCAAGCCTGTTTATGTTTGTGAGAGGCTGCCTTGCTTCTCTGTGTCAACTCTTAAGCAGTCCCCGACATGCCCCTAGATTTCAGAATCCACAGAAATCTTTCCCTAGTTATCTGGGCCAGCAGCAGCCTCTTCCCTTTCAATTCTTTTGAATCACTGCAAGAATTTCTATAGTTCTGGCTCCTGTCTTGCCTCAAGGTAAAACAAACAAACAAACAAAAGGACTGACCTGAGGCCGGCAGAGAATGTGTTAGGACAGTCCTGTCATACTCTGATACAAAAAGGGGCCACTGATCCATACCTAGGGATCCCTGCCGGCCACATGTTGACTTAGTTTTAAAATTTAATATCATCTATTGCTGTATTTTTATCTATTACTGTATTTTTATTTATCTCGTTAAATATTTCCCAGTTATGTTTTAATCTGGTTTGGGCTGCACTTGGCCACATGGTTGACACCTCTGAGTTAGGGGATTATTAGGGGATATTTTCAGTCACCTAGTATCTATATAGCACCTATTCGGGCCAGGCACTGAGCTAAGGATCTGAAGAGTTGCTTCTGAGAAACATGTGAATGAACATGTAGGCTTAGGAATGGTAAATACTAGAACCTTGAAGGCTTTGGGCAAATTAGACTGGGTGGTTTCAGTCCAGTGAATCACAGCTCTACCAAACTCGACATGCCTTGATGCTGATGGAGACAGAGCACCCATCTGGGCCTACTTTTCCAATGCCTCCTCATCCTGGCATGTCAGGTACCCGAAGGGTAACTATTTCTCCCCTCAGAATTCTAGGAGTAACCCTGAGGAGCTGTTTTTCTACTGTTGTTGCCCAGGAGCCCTCACTGAATACCAGCCAGCCAGACTTAATTATGTTTTAGAAAGGAGTATTTACTAAGATGTTATAGTAAAAACACCCCTTCCCAAGTCTGTGACCTACTCTTGCACACAAAAGACCCCTGGGGGAAATGGGTTCAAGCTTACAAAACACATGTGACAAAGGGGCAGCTCAGAGTTCCTGATGCAGCTGGAGGGGTAATGGAGAGAGAACTGGGCCTGGAATCGGGAAGACTTGAGGTCAAATTTGGTTTCAGACCCCTACTATGTATATCACCCTGGGAAATTTATTTAACCTCTGTTTTCCTCAGTTTCCTCAGTTGTGAAATGGGCAGCTTAACATGTTATCATGAGGATCAGATGAGATATTTGTAAAAAGCAATTAGTGGAGTACCTGGCACACTGTAGGTGCTATATAAATGCTTATTCCCATTCCCTCTTGATTATTGAAACTCCTTCTCTCCCTTTGTGGAGTCCTCATGGTTTCCCTTTGGTATATGTTGCCCTCTGTAGAGTCCTGAGGCTGTCCTTCTTCTGTGTCTAGTTCAAGCGTGTCTGTTGGTTCCCAGTGTAGATGCTACCATCTGTCACTGCTGCTCCAACGATACTACATCAGTGCTGATGGGAAAGTCCAGTTCTCTCAACTTTTCAAATGTCACAAGGCTTTCCATCGAGGGTTAAGGGGCAAAAGGAGAGAGTTTGCCTGCTTCCCCCTCAATGATTTCCTCTCTGGGGCAATCCTGCTATTATAATGCCAGTTTACCAATTGGCTTGCTGTTTTATCCAAGCCTCACAGGGTACAACTAATCCTCTGCATTTAACTACAAGATATTTTTTTCCTTTGTGGCATTATCCACTTTCATTCAGTCCATACACAGTTTACCCTTTTGACAGATTCCATAACTCAGTCAAAGAGTTGTTTTCCCTAATAAAGGTATCAGGGTATGGAGCAACTTCTCAGTTGAATTAATTGGGGTTGAGGAATGTGGGATATCCCTCTTACAGGTAAAAGGAAAGGATACAAAAGATGCTGCTCGCAATTGACAATTTTTGTCAGCGTGTCTGGTCTTGGGAATTCAAACTGAGTCTCTGACTTAGCTAAAGCTTAGTGGCATGGGAATATTTTTGGTTTCTGGAATACTACTTGATTTCTCTATTCATTGGTTTATATTATTTTGTCTTTTCTGGCAATCAGAAATGTCTCTGTAGTGATCTTATGGCAGGGAAAGTACCAAACATTTGTGTAAGAAAATGAGAAACTGAAAAAATCCTTCTCTTACTGGCCCTGAGATGGCAAAACTGGAACAATTATAGCTGTGAGCTATTATAAATTAGAGTGGAAACCATCTAAGGTGTTCAGTAAAACTGAAGTGGGGCATATCAATCCTGGACAAGGCCCAGAATTGTTGATACATTTAATATTATTAAAATTAATAATATGAAAGGACTTTGTAAACTGTAAGGTACTATATAAATATGAGCTAGTGTTATCATCATTATTATTTTCATATCTACCATTTTTTAAAGCCAATTGACCTTAGCTGTTGTTTGTTTGTTTCTTAAACTTTCAGAGAATTTCTTGGGCAGGGTTGGATGAAATTGGATAAAAATGAAAGAACACCCTCCATTATGAAAACCAGCCAGCACTTTAATGATGTGAGTAATCATAAAAAGTAAAAGACTTTTGGATACACTCCAGGAATGTGAAAGTCAAGGTTTAAACCTTCCCCCTTTAAAACAAATGCTTTAATTTTTTTTTAATCCAGAGGTGATGGAACGTTAAAGCTAACTTTAAAATCCTCCAAGAGCACAAAAAGAAGCAATTACTTTTGGTTTCATGACTAAGTGTCTAGCATTTTGATGCTATTCAAGTGTGGCTAAGTAGAAGGTTCCAAACTGAATTAAAAATTCTTGCTACTTTAATGAGATATTGGTAATGCATATCTCTTCATCAAAATGCAGCAGGGCAATATGTGACCTCAGTTGTCATCATTTTTCTTAATGAATGGATCTGGGTAATTTTCCATCTCTGGTCCACCTTTTACCTCTCTGCCAAGAAAACCCCAAATGGTGTCACAAAGAATCAGACGTGACTCCACAGCATTAACAACTGGGCAGCGAGGTGGAGCAGTGGAGAGCGTGCCAAGCTTGGAGTCAAGAAGACTCATTTTCCTGAGTTCCAGTCTGGCCTCATACACTCACTGGCTGTGTGACCCTGGGCAAGTCACTTAACCCTGATTGCCTCAGTTTCCTCATCTGTGAAATGAGCTGGAGAAGGAAATGACAAACCACTCCAGTATCTTTGCCAAGAAAACTCCAAATGACATCATGACGATTTGGACATGAACTGAAATGAATGAACAACTTGCAGATATGGTCTTATCAAAGAAATTATCACCTCCCACACTCTGGATACTTTGTTTCTTTCTCCTACTGCATTTTAAGAGCATATCAACTTTTATGGCTGCCCTGTCACATGCTTGGTCAGCAGTCCTCTATCCACTGAGAGATCTCTCCCAAATGGTACTTTTTTATGTGTTACTGTAATAATTGAGACTCATAATGATGACCTTGAAGAACTTCAAGACCCTTTTGAATTGTCAAAAGAATTAAATTATGTTTAATATCCAATTTAATAAACATTAACTGGTCACTTTGTACAAGTCACCATGCTAAACAATGGATATGTGATGGTTACTATTTTTGGTGTTAAGCATCCTATTCTAATTCTTTGTCAAGTGGGACTCTATGTATGCTGTATATGATTAACAAAAATATCCCATTCACCGGCCCTGCAAAGAGTTTCTCTCTCCACTCTAGAGATGCATGAAGTTTCATTAGTTAATTTTTGTAGGGAGCTTAAGTGCCTGCAGCAAGTTGCACCTTGAGTAGTATTATCATCTTCCTTTTATTGTCTGAGTTAAATAACAGGCTTGTTTTTCCCAAATGCTTCCCTTTAAGTCTCACTTCTTCTTGGCTTTGTATGTTAGATGAGTAACCTTGTGGCCTCCCAGATAATGAATTATGCTGATGTCAGCTCCCGGGCCAATTCCATTGAGAAATGGGTCGCTGTTGCAGATATCTGTCGATGCATGCACAACTACAATGGAGTGTTGGAAATCACCTCGGCCTTAAATAGAAGTGCAATCTACAGGCTGAAGAAAACTTGGGCCAAAGTCTCTAAACAGGTAAGTAACGATGAGCTACAGATATCATTCCAAAGATGACTTTCACTTAAAAGGTAGAGGCCACTGAACTGAGTGCCAAGATAAATATTGCTAATTAGGAAATCATTTAATAAAGTGAGCAGTGCAGTTGCCAAAGTGAGGTGCCCACTTGGATAATTATTGTGCTCTTGACACTAATTAATCTTCCTTCTGTTCATTTCAAAACCAATAATTTTAAGGAAAAAAATAATTTAAACCAAAACATTTGCAAAAATATTTGGGGAAGAAAACCTAACTTCATTAGTTGTCAGATTAGAATATTTTTCTACAAATCCCTAGGCCCAGGTAGCTTCCTAGAAAGCTCACTTTGCTACTGCTAGTCTAGATTTTTCCCCCCAATTAATAAGCATTCGCTTTCTTTCTCCCTTTCCTCTCCCCCAGGGGAAGGGGGGTAGAGGGGACAAAGCCCCTGCAACAAATATGCATAATCAAGCAAAACAAATTCTCATGTTGGCCATGTCAAAAAATGTATGTCTTACTCTTCATATCTAGCCCATCCATCCCTTCAACTTCAGGAGATGGGTACCATGTTTCATCATGAATCCTCTAGAATCATGATTGATCATTCCATTGATCAGAATTCTGGAGTCTTTTAAAATTATTTATTTTTAGAATGTTGTTAGAGTATTACACATTTTCTCTAGTTCTCCTAACATCACTGCATTACTTAAACACGAGGTTCAAGTGATATCCCAGATCTCACCACTTTTCCATCTGTATAGATTTCTACTTATGCTTCCCAATTACATTAGATAAATTCCTTCCTCCCATTCCTTCTCTTTTTTTTTCCTTAGCGTATCCTTTCCCTTCTTCCTTTCTACTCAGCTCTGATCTTTACATCAGGAATGCTTGGAAGTTCTCAAATTCATTAAAGGTCCATTTTTCCCCATAGGATTATACTCATTTTTGTTGGATAGATTATTCTCAGTTGTAAGCCTATATCTTTTGCTTTTTGGAATATCATATTGCAAGGTCCTTAATAGTGGTAGCTGTTCATTTTTGTGTGATCCCAACTGTTATGGTTCCTTGATACTTGAACTTTTTTTTCAAGCTGCTTTGACTTGGAAGCTCTGGATTTTGGCCATGACATTAATAGGACTTTTCATTTGGGGGGTGTCTTTTAGTTAGTGACCAGTGCCCTTTGGTTCTACTATCTAGGCAATTTTCTTTTGTAATTTCTTGATATATGGTATCTGGGCTCTTTTTTTTTTCCAGATAGTCCAGTGATTCTTAAATTATCTCTCCTTGATTTATTTTCTAGGTCAGTTTTTTTTAAAATAAAAGATAACTTATTTTGGGGGTGGGAGGTTCTGAATTTTTTGATTTTTTTTAATATTTCTTATTATTTTGTAGCATCACTAACTTCTCTTTGGTCCATTAGAATTTTCAGGGAGTATGTTACTTATGTTAGCTTTTGTACTTTTCATGCTAAGATGTTAATTCTCCTTTTAAATCTCTGTAACTTTTATTTCTTTGTCAGTTATTTCCTTAATCCCTCTCATTTTATTGATACAATTTTAAAACTCATTTTTGACACTTGCATTATTTCTTCCAGGGATTCTAATTGATCTTATAGACAATCTTTGTTTTTCTTTAAGGCTATTTAAAGGTGTTTTGGAGTTATTTTTCTCTTTTGGGTTTGTGTCTTGGGCATCCTGGGCCTCATAATAGCTCTTAAAAACAACAACAACAACAACAACAACAACTCATTCTTCCAGTGTTCAGGAATTGCTTGCCTGGCCAGCAGCTCTGGGGGGCTGCATCTGTGGTCCTGGCCCCTCTAGGAAACCCCTTCACTACTGCCCTTGGTCAACTCTGCACTGCTGGCCTGACTCAGAAATCTAGCCAGGGTCTACGATCCTAGCCCATCCCTCTTCCTTTGTTTCTGCCCTGGTCATTTGCCTATAGGTTGTACTGGAAATATAACCTACTGTAGTTTCTATATCCCAGTCACTACTAAGTCCTATGGACCACTCTACCATCTTCATTAATCTTTCTCCAGTCTGGTTCTTTATTAACCAACACAATGAAGTAATAAGAATCCAAGCCAGCAGCAGTACATCTCACTTTCTCCTAAAATTGAGATTGGAATACTCCAAGGGGAGAGAGGGGAAATGTCATTGAGTAAATAGAGTTGGCCTCAGCTTTTTTCCCCCTCTTTAACTATCTCCTAGTTTTGCTAGTCTGATCCCAAAGTCTCATCACTGCTTTTTAAAGGTAATTTTCATCCCTTTTTTCTAGCTCCTATTCCAGCATTTCACAGTCTTCTTTAAGAATACTATCAAACTTTGCCAGTAGGGCAATTTATTTTACTTTTTAAAGTAACATTTTATTTCCTCCCAATTACATGTAAAAAACAGTTTTTAACATTTGTTTTTTTTTAATTTTAAGTTTCAAATTCTATGCCTCTCTTCCTTTCCTCCCCCCTCCCTGAGATGGTAAACAATCTGATATAGATTATATGAATGTAATCATGTAAAACATTTCCATATCATTCATCTTGTGAAAGAAGAGTCGAACAAAAAAAAAAAAGAAAGTGAAAACTAGTGTGTTTCAGTCCATATTCAGATAACATCAGTTCTTTCTCTGGATACAGATAACATTTTTCACTATGAACCCTTTGGGATTGGTTGTGTTGGATCATCATCATTGCTGAGAATAGCTAAGTCATTTACCATTATTCATTGTACAGTATTGCTATTACTGTGTACAATGTTCTCCTGCTTCTGTTCACTTTGCATCAGTTCATGTAAGTCTTTCCAGGTTTTTCTGAAATCATCCTGTTTGTCATTTCTTAAAGCTCAGTAGTATTCCATCACAATCATATACCACAACTTGTTTTACCATTCCCCTACTGATGGGCATCCCCTCAATTTCCAATCTTTAGCTACCACAAAAAGAGCTGCTATCAATATTTTTGTAAAAATAAGTCTTTTTTCCCTTTTTAAAAAAGGCTCTTTGGGGTATAGACTAGCAGTGGTATTGCTGGATCAAAGGGTATGCATAGTTTATAACCCTTTGAGCATAGTTCCAAAAAATGCAATTCATTCAAATTCAACAAATATTTGATCAACACTTCCCATGTAAGGGGCAGCTAGGTGGCGCAGTGGATAGAGCACCGGCCCTGAAGTTAGGAGGACCTGAGTTCAAATCCGGCCTCAGACCAAACACTTGACACTTACTAGCTGTGTGACCCTGGGCAAGTCACTTAACCCCAATTGCCTAAAAAAACCAAATAAATAAATAAATAAAACACTTCCCATGTAAAAGGAACTTTGGGGAAATTTTAAAAAATATACACACACATAAAATATACATATACTATATATGTATGTAGATATACACATATATTATGGGTTTTTATATATATATATATATATACACACACACACATATATACACACACACGTATTTTTATTAAAACATTGTTCTAGTCCTAATGGAGTTTGCCATATAGTTGATTTAAAGTTTGGCTGATACGTAAGTACACAAAACTGCTGGTTCTGCATTTTATATAAATTTAATCTATCACCAAGTATTTATTTATTACAATAGTAATCACTAATTAAGTAATAATACTAATAATTAGTAATAAAATGAATAATTTGTTAGTAATAAATTTGTTAAGCACCTACTATGTGCCAGGTGCTGGGAATAGAAATACAATGAATGAAACAATCTTATTCACCTGGAGCGTATATACTCATGGGAGAGACAACAAGGACTTATATAAGTATAGAATAGATTTAAAGACAATAGATACAAGATGCTTGGAGAAGGAGGCAGTAACAGCTGGGGACAGGAAAGGCTTCATGCAGAAGGTGATGACTGAGCTGCGCCTTGGAGGAAGAGGCAGAGGTGACTCAAGGCGCTTCAGGTGATGGGAAAGGAGAATTTGACAAAATCAGATTCCACCAACTATTACTGTGCAGGTGCCTGCGGAGATAAAGAGAAACTGCACATGGACCCTGGCCTCCTAATGAGAACATTATTGAATACATTGCTTGAAATTCTGAAGGTGCTCCAGGCAAGTTTAGTCATTAAATGAAATGAGCAGCAGTTCATTTGCAAGGTTGGTACGTCCCCTCAGAGCTGCCATTGACAGAAGCTGGGCTGTGGACCAGTGAGATGCCTATCAGTATTTCCAAATGATAACTGTTTTAGAATGGGTTCTCATTAGTTCAGAGAACTCTCTTCTAGCTTTTCCTGCAAAATATAGATGAAAATGCCTGTCCTAGATCAGATGCTGTGATAATGTATAGAAATATACAACAGGTTACAGTTTGCTGATGAAAGTAAGTGATCACAGGGCAGCCAGGTGGCATAGTGGATAGAGCACTGGTCCTGGGGTTAGGAAGATTCATCTTCCAGAGTTCAAGTCTGGCCTCAGACACTTGCTGGGTGACCTTGGACAAGTCACTTAACCCTGATTGCCTCAGTTTCCTCACTCTAAAATGAGCTGGAGAAGGAAATGGCAAACTGTTCCAGGATCTTTGCCAAGAAAACCCCAAATGAGTTCACAAAGAGTTGGACACAACTGAAAACAACTGAACAACAACATAAGTGATCACATTTCTGAAATAACTTGGTCTATATTCAACAATATAAAACAGCTACCATGTGCTGGGCACTAAGGATACAAAAATAGATAAGTATATAGGCCTTGCTCTTAAGGCGCTTAAAGGGAGCAAAGAATTACTGTATTTCCTAGGCTAACATAATGGCAAAACAATTGGATTTGCTTGCTATGGCATTTTTCAGAATTAGACATGCTACAAATGCTTCATCTTGAAAAATCTACTGAACTTTGAGTCAGAAAGATCTGAGTTCAAATTCTAACTCAGCTGCTTAGTAATTCCATGACCCTAGACAAGTCACTTGATCTCTCTCTGAGCCTCAGTTTCTTCATCTGTAAAAGGTGGGGCCTGTATTCATTGTCATCTCTTTGTTGTTGTTATGTTGATTTAGTCATGTCCAACTTTTATAACCCCATTTGGGGTTTTCTTGGCAGAGATAATGGAGTAATTTTCCATTTCCTTCTCCAGCTCATTTTACAGACGAGGAAACTGAGGCAAACAAAAAGTTAAGTGACTTGCCCAGGATCACACAGTTAGTAAGTGTCTGAGACTGGATTTGAACTCAGGTCCTCTGGACTCTAAGCCTAGCACTTTATCCACTATGCCACCAACGTCCCTCTTTGGTCCCTTTAATCTCTAAATCTATGACCCTATGGCCTCTTAGGCCCTTTACAGCTCCGAATCCCATGTTTTCTCTAGAACTCCTATAAGCAGTTCAGCTCATCAAAAAACCATATTTCCTATGTTACAATTCCAATTGCCTATTCCCTTCCCTCTCTCTTTAAGGTAATTCTCCCTCTATATGCTCTTGTCCCCAGGCAGTGTGAGTAATACCACACTGTGACCCTTATTTGAGTTATTCATGGTACCACTGTTGCATGCCTGCTTCTTTCTGAAATAGATGAACCTTCTGTGTTTTCTGTCATTTGGCAGCTCATGCTCTGAAAATAACTGCTGCAGAAGGATTTATGGGATGTTCATATTTTTCTTTCTAGACAAAAGCTCTTATGGACAAACTTCAGAAGATTGTATCTTCAGAAGGAAGATTTAAAAATCTCCGAGAAACACTCAAAAAGTATGTTTTCTTAATCAGTAAAATTATCCACAGAGTACAGGAACACATCGCATATTAAGAATGAGAGAGCTGGCTTTAATTTTGCTTTCAAAATGATTATTAAAAATAACTTTATATGGTTTTCAACTAAAACAATCTAGCTCAGTGGAATTTGTTTTTAGTTCACAGATTTCAAGTTTCACTGAACCAATCCCAGGTTTCTTTTCATTTTTCCTACCTGTCCAATCAATGAAAAGTATCTTACTAAGTAATTTACATTCCAAGTACTGTCTTGGAGACTCGAAGGCAAAAAACTTAGCAGTCTCTGTCCTCAAGAAGCTTACATTCTTTTGAAGGAGGCAACATTTACATGTGTAACCATAGACAAAATGTAACAAAATAAGCACAATTTAATTAGGGTAAAGGGGGCACCAGCAGCTGGAAGCATTAGGAAAGACTTAATGCCAAAAGACTCCTGTAAGTTGAGTTTTGAAGGAAATAAGGGTTTCAAAGAGGAAGAGGTCAGGGGTGTGGGGAGTTGCATTACAATATTGCAAAGGCTTCCAGACAGAAGATTGAGTTTTATATGTAAAGGAACAGCAAGAAGAAGATAGTTTAGCTGGACCATAGCATGTAGGAATGGAAGTAACATATATGAAGACTGAAAAGATAGTTTTGGGCCAAGTTGTAAAAAACAAAAAACAAAAAAAACAAAAACAAAAAAACAAAGGCTTTAAAATAGAGTGTATATATTTTTTCCTAGAGGTTATAGAAAGCCATTGAAGTTTATTGAGTAAGGGTGAGACATGGTCAGACTATGCTTTAGGAAAATCACTGTGTGGAGGATTAGATTGGCGTATGGAGAGACCTGAGATTGGAGGATCATTTAGGTGGTTAATGCAGTAGTCCAGGCAAGAGGCCATAGGACCTGAGTCAGGGTGGTGGCACTGTTATATTGTGGGATGTTATGAAAGTAGAAACGAGATCTGACAACTGACTATCTATGTGGAACAAGAGGGTAGGAGGTGCAGATAATGCCAAGGTTGTAAATCTGGGTGAGTAGAGGGATGGTAATGTTCTCAGCAGAAATAGAGGAGTTTAGAAGAGGGGTGAGTTTGGTAGAAAAGAGAATGAATTCTGTTGTGGATATGCCAAGTTTGAGATGCCTCTGAGCTGCCTGGTGCCAACTGTCAGATAACAGCTGGTGATGTGGGACTGGAGCTCCAGAGAGGGACAGGCTGGCTACAGAGAACAGAGGAAGGATCCCACCCTCCTCCACTGGCCTGCTGCCCTCCCTGATTGAGCCATTCATCCCCATCTGACTGAATACAAGCCATAGCTATCATAGATTACAGAGTTATAAAACTGGAAGACGCTTTAGAGCCACCAAGTCTAACCCTCGTTAACAAATGAGAAAGCTGAGGCTTGGGAATATTAAGATTTGGTCAAGGTCACAGAGGTAGAGACAGAACGCAGGACTATTTGATGACTCTGGAACGATGTCAGAGATAAGAAATGAGAGGCAGCATGGTGTAGGGAAGAGAGCTAACTTCATAGCCAAGAAAGCTTAGGTTTGAATCCTGTGTCTGGCACATACTGTCTTTGTGACCCTGGCCAAGTCACTTAGGGCTATAGGCAACTTTCTAAGATTGTGAATTGCAGAGAAGGTGGCAACCTGCATTGGTAGAGGGAGTTAAGTCATCTGGGACATCTCTCTAGCAACGAAATCTATCCATTTAAAGAAGAAGAATGATTAATAAAAGAAAAAGTCAGTGTTAGGAGATCAAGCAGGTTTGTCCCCTAAAAAGCAGAAAGAAAGTAAATTCTGACCAAAGGGGGGGGGGGCAATAGATCTCTATAACATCTAAAGACCATTTAAATGATCACTAAAAGAGGGAAAAACATGTGGCCTGTGATGCAAGAGGTACAATAAACTTGATGATTCCCTGATGGCTGTTGATTTTTCTGTAATAAGGTATGGGCTATAGCTAGTCTTATAGAAGTTTCAGAGAGTTTCCTTGAATGAAGGTGGCCTAGTGGAGGGCTAGGCTCAGTCAGGAAAACCTAAGTTCAGTCCTGCCTCTGATATTTACTAGTTGTGTGACTATGGACAAGTCCCTCAAGCGCTCTTTACACTTTAGTTTTCTTATCTATAAAATGAGCATGATACCTATAGTGCTTAAATTACAGGGTTGTTATGAGAATCCAGTGAGAATGGACATGGAGTGCTTTGCAAGACTTAAAGTGATATATAAATGTTGGTGATTTATTATCATGGAAAAAACCATTTTTGTTGACTATAGAATGAAATGAACGTGCTAAATAACCAATAGTGATGTGGATCTCTCTTCTTCTGCTCCCAGCAATTGTAACCCCCCTGCAGTCCCATATCTTGGAATGTACCTAACTGACCTGGCGTTTATTGAAGAAGGAACACCAAACTTTACTGAGGAAGGCCTTGTCAATTTTTCAAAAATGAGAATGGTAAGTGACTGGCTTAAAAAAAAAATTCACATGTGATTTCCTAGTACTTCAAAAAAAAAAAGCACTTTTACTACACTCAGAATTTCTCAGAGTTTATAATGGTATTGGATAAAAGTTGAAGATAAGAAAAATGCCATTTGCCTTATATTTCAGGGATGGTAAAAACCTGCCCATCTTCAGGCTGGCTCCTTTAGCTGGAGGAGTTGTAAAGAATTTGACAGTGACAGTGTTGTTATTGTTATTGCTTATTTATTTCAGTTGTGTCCAACTCTTTGTGGCCCCATTTGGGATTTTTTTGGCAAAGATACTGGAGTGGTTCGCCATTTCCTTCTCTAATGTGTGCCCGTTTTACAAATGAGGAACCTGAGGCAAAGAGGGTAAAGTGACTTGTCCAGGGTCACACAGCTAGTAAGGTCCTGAGACCAGATTTGAACTCAGGAAGAGGAGTCTTCCAGACTCCAGGCCCAGGGCTCTGTGCACTATGGTGCCACCAAGCTGCCCAAGCTAGTGGTCTAGGGAGAATGAAAACCCCAGTATTGGCTTCCTCTGGACACATGTGCCTTCCCATGTAGATGGCAGTGAAGCTTAGTTATACCCTCTGTGTGTGTGTGTGGATGCGTGCGCGCATCCACACACACACACACATATACACACACATATCCTGGCTTATTTGTCTTAGTGAGTTTGGCAGATTTCAAAGACTCTTTGTTTAAGTTCCCATCTCTCCTTTGCCTTCTCTGTTATCCAGTATCCTCTTAGATCTTTGGTATCCTAAGTTAGAAATATAGACAGACAGACAGTGTTTATTAAGTGCTTACCATATGCTAGGCATTGTGTCTAGTCCTAGGGATACAAAAAGCAATAAATAAGGCATTGCTTACCCTCAAAGAAAATAGCTAAAATAGCTGACATTAATATAACACCTTCTGCACTCTACTAAAGGCTTTACAATTGTTATCTATCTCATTTGATCCCTCACAAGAACCCTGGGAGGCAGATGCTATTATTATCCACATTTTACAAATGAGGAAACTGAGACAACCACGTTAAATGACTTGCCCAAGGTCACACAGCTAAGTATCTGAGGCCTGTTTGAATTCAAGTCTATTCTGACTCCAGGCCCAGTGCTCCATCCGCTAAGCCACCTAGCAGTCTCCAAAAATGTAAGGAGCTTACGTTTGAATGGGAAAGATAACACGTAAAAGGAAACTCTAAAGTGGGCAGGAGGCAGGGGGAAAAAGAGGATAGTATCATCCCCTACCCACCCACCCAGGGATAAGGTGGATGTCAAGGAGTGAAATGAGCTGTAAGTGAAGTGGGCATGGCTGGAACCCCTCATGAAATACAGAGAAATGTCCCCTAGCCATTGACCCTTTTTGGGTACTGTTTTTTACAGTTTTGTCTTTGATTATATATAATTTACATCTAGGCAGGTAGGTTGCTCAGTGGATATAGCCCTGGAATCAGGAAGACCTGAGTTCAAATCTGGCCTCAGACACTAGCTATGTGACTCTTGGCAAGTCACTTAACTTCACTTTGCCTTAATCCACTGGAGAAGGAAATGGCCAATCAGTCCAGTATCTTTGCCAAGAAAACCCCTAGGACAGTATTAGCATACTGTGGTCCATGGGGTCAGGAAGAGTCAGACATGATTAAACAACTGAACAAGCGAATAATTAGTATATAGCCTTACTGTCTATCTGTTACCTTCCATGAACTCAAACTGGCTGCTGACTTCCCATTTCCATCTTTCTGTACCCAGGGTTCCTGGGTCCCTCTCCCCACCATATTTCTGCCAATACTATAGAAATCTCTGTGATGCTTCACAACTTTGGTCATGGGATCATGCCCCTATCCTCACTCAGTGCTAGGGGAACAAAACACAATTAGTCCCTTGATCAGAATAACCACTGAAAAAATCTAAAATAATGCAGTTACCCTGGTGACAAAAGAACACCAATTTGGAGGGAATATAGAAATGAAAACAAGGAGCATTCTTCAGAATGGTCTCAGAGTCTGCTGTTTCCCAGGCTTCCTTTCCCATCTAGAGCTTGTGCTGTATATCTGTGCCTGAGACTGATGTCATACAATGATGTTGAAGGTATATAGATCAGAAAAGAAGAAGAAGAAAACATGGGGTACAGAGAGCAAAAGGGGCATAGCCCACTGGCCTCCACCATCTTGGTAAATGGGATAACTGACTGCTCCAGAAAGATAGCTGCAGACAAAGGGGTGTTTTTCCACCCAGAATTTGTAAAAAGAGTAAAATATAAAGTTCCTTTATTTGCCTTTTGTTTCTTTGCTAGATATCACACATTATCAGGGAGATACGCCAATTCCAGCAGACTTCCTACAGGATAGACCACGAGCCAAAGGTAATATGGTACTGACATATGTGCTATGCTTAACACAGAGACTGTACTTAAAGCTAAGCCCCAGCTTCAGAAGACATTGACTGACTTTTGCATCTCACAGAACCTTCTTCCATAAGATAATGGCAGATGCCAGGAGATGTTCTGTGACATAACAAAAAGGTTGCATTCCTCTAAGCAAATCCCACAGACTTTTTCACCTTGTGCCTGCCTCAATGCAGTATTCATTCTCAAACACCTGAAGTTGAAATGCCATCATACTTGACCTGTACATGCATTTTAACCTTTATATATTTGCCCCAAAGTCCAGCCATCCCAGCAAAGTATTTATCCTTTCATTCTCTTTTATATTGTGTAGAAACGAAACAACTTTAGAAATATTTCATAGCGTACCTTGGCTGTGTGATGTATAAAAAGTTTGAGAGACATAGTTTCTGGGTAATTAATCTTTTTATTAATTGTGCAAATATATAATTAATAAAAGGATCAGTAGCACTCTCAAATGCCAAAGATCCCTCATGGAACCCATTCAATGCTTATATGCCTTTGGAAAAGTGAATGTTCCTGAGGGTGGAAATAAACTCTGGTTAACAAGTAATGAGAGAATGAATATTATAATGAGAGGTGGACTTATTCTAATCAGGGTTTGGGAGATATGACTCTGATCACTCAGTCTTGGTCAAAGAGACTTACCTATACCCATATCACACTATCTAGGGTAGTCTAGACAAAAAGCGTAATCCACTTTTACCTAGACCTGTCCAAGTGAAATATGATGAGCCAGAATCCGTCAATTTACCTAAACTAAAATTCCTTTCCCTTTTGAACAGATCTGAGTTTTCCCTCTCATTATCAGCCCTGCATTTCAAAGGCTGCCTGAATATAGGCAAACACCCCTATAGGGGCTGATTTCTGAGTAAGGAAGTAGAAAAGGGGGAAAACCTTGGTCCTAATGCAATAATTGGTTATTAATATAAGAGAGAAATAATTATTTCTCTCAGCTGATTTCTATAGCTGGTTAGCTTCCAAATTTTCACCAGAAGGAATAAACTACAAATTAAAGGGTTTTTACTGAGAAAGACTGAAATACAGACAAACAAGACCTCAAGGAGCTTGCATTCTAATAAGGAAAGAGTGCATAAAGGAGAACAAGAAAGTAGGGGAAGGGTGTACCTGCCAGGGGCGAAGGTGCTGCTAAGGTCAAGTTCAGAAAGTGAGTAAAGTCTGAACGAAAGGACTAGATTTCAGAAAAAGATTTGGTTTTTCCGTGTATTTGAGTAAATGCGTTCTGGGTTTCCCCTCCTCGCCACAGGTCACCCAGTACTTGCTGGACAAAACTCTCATCATAGATGAGGATACGCTGTATGAGCTGTCACTAAAGATTGAACCTCGACTCCCTGCCTGAAGAGCCAGCTTTGCCCCTAAATCTGTGGAAAGAGACCCGAACTGTGCCTGCCATGCCTGCACAATGGGTGGGGAAGGGATGAGATTTCAAGCTCCATTCTCCTCTGACAAAAACTGAGGCTCCCGGAAATTCTGTCTCAAGCCAGAACAGAGCCGTTTAGGGTGCAAGGCGAATGCTTCAGACTCGGGCAGGAGGCTGGTGAAGGTGTCACTTTGCAAAGCTAGAACAGTATTTGCCTCTTTTTAAAGGAAGGCTGGAGTAGAGAAAGAAGGCCTTTGTCACACTGAGTGGCGGTTGCTAATTTCGTGGGGGTAACCAAGGGGGCAAATCTGACTCTACCATGTTCCATTAAGAGCATGTGAGCAGAGACAGAGAGAGAGAGATGATGATGGTGATGATGATGTTTCTCTGGCATGTTACTTAACAAGAAACATCTACCAACCCAACCTTAGGATATATATGCTTTCATTACATTCACTTTCAAATCAGTGAGAGCTTCACAGCAAAATGTAGTCACCTTAGGTGCGAGCTGCCCTGCCCCTGAACTGTTTCTGCTTCATAGCATGTGCACTGTTTCAAATGTATGGATCAATATGTATCTTGAAGTAATCTAATGTTCTGAATTCATCTTTTCAGTCTTTGGGCAGCTATACAAGAAGACAAAGATGGGGGTGGGGAGCACGGGGGACAAAAGTGGAGTAAACTTGACTTTGTAGATAAGTTTCCCTTAGACCCAGAGAGCTGCTTCTAGTAAAGTGGAAGCCCAGTGCATTTCTCTAGCATCCACTCTCTCTTTGTTGGAGTGGTCAGGCCCCAGGTAGATAAAAGAAGGGACCGTCCTGAGTCCCAGGCATCTGCTTAACTTCTCCGGGATCAGGGGCTCTGGCTGCTGGCTGATTTTACTGTCAGCTCAGACACCTGCTCTTGACTATTGTCACCCTGAGATCTCTTCCTTTCCTCCTTCACTCCCATAACCCCACTGGGGAAGTGGCTAATCAAGCCTAAAAGGCAATAAGTTCCTACAATGAAGACTGCAGGAATGGTGTGTTAAAACTTTTCAATGCAAATATTTGCTTTAAACAACATTGTCTTTGCTCAATATCGACTCTGCTTGTTTTCTGTATTTCTACCCTGGTAATTTCTTGGGGGTAATGTTGGGATTCTGTTCTGGTAAGGACACTGTTTGTTTTTAAAGGCAAGTGGATCCGAGATTATGATCTATGACCAGAAAAGGTTTTGTGAGTAATATTTTTAAAGCCCTGTGCTACTGCATGATGACAGGTAGAATCCCCTCTGGGCATGCAACACTTCTAGTCTTCTGCCAGGGTTTGGCCTATAGTAGCTGCAGGGGAATTTAGGGCAACAGACCCCACCAGGCACCCCTATTGCCCACAGGGAAAGTCATGTAGGTTATAGCTAAGATTACCTTTCCCCAAACTATCAGCTAGTGAAGAAATGGGGCTTTGTTATTGTTTATCTCTCTTCTTTTTTTAGGGAGACAACTGTTGTATTTAATTACAAAGGAAAGGAAAAGAAAGTGAAAAAGATGTTGTTACCCTAGGCTTTTGCATCTGACTTTATCTCTAAGAGTCAAGAAGCTTATTAATGCTGACAATGAAGAATTGATCTTTCGGGCTTGATTTTTTTCCTCTTTATTTGCACTCTAATTATGTTACTAGAGCTAACAGCTGTCCAATAAATTCCATTCAGTCTCTTAAGACCAGTGGAAGGGCTACCATTGAGGATGCACCTTTTGTGGCAGCGAATATCATCATGTTTTCTGTACCTCAAGGGCCATTTCTGTAAATAACTACATAACAAAACATCAAATAAGTACTAGCAACTCAATTTAAAATCTTTGAAGACCTTTCCAGAAGCATCTTCAGTAATTCTGAATTAACTAGCACGATAACATTATACCTGAGAAGGGTCATTTAGAGATGTTCTATTTTCCTTTAAAGAAAAAAAAATTGCTTGTTCTTTATAGTATGAAATAAGAGGCTAATGCATCCTGATGCATGATAAGAAGCATGGGGTTCTTCAGATCACAATAACATGCAACTGTATAGTTCATTTATCAATTGTGCATAATATAGAATTTGAAATTAACAACTGGCAGCTGCATACAATACCACAAAGTCTGCAGTAGAGAAGGAAAAAAAACAGATTGCCCCTTTTTTGGCTAGAAACCTACTCTTGCTGCTTGCAAAAAAAAATAAAAAAGGATAAAATTGAGTATATGAGAATATGAAATGAGAGGCTGGCATATCCTTGAGTTACTGTCTAAATAATGATGGAATGGGAGGAATGTCAGTTCTGCCCTGCAGTGCCAGAGAGCCTCCAGCAGTGAAGGAAGGGCTGACTGTGCGCCCATCACATTTTTCTCCTGATTTCACATCTACATCTGAATTGCAAATTTGGACACATTTTATTTCTCTGTTCCAAATGAATCAGTGTCTATACACACCCTATCTAACCATGTTAAATACAGATTATTAGAGAAAAATAGGAACCAGGAGTCTCTTAAGTGGTCAGTCCTATTCTTCCCACCCTACCAAAGCAGGTAGAAGGGATGCAGTGATTCAGTAGCTACTTTCAAAAAGCTTTCTTACATTGTAGCATCTGCTGAATCTGCACAGGCCAGGGTGGTGCCACTGCTGACTACATTCCCCCCTTCCATGTTTGGCTCACATCCACTAGCCGAGGTGTTGACCTTTTCTTATGTCATTGATCCCCATGACAGTCTGGTGGGGCCTTTGGATCCCTCTCAGAATCATGTTTTTAAATGCAGAAAATACAAAGGAAAACAATTATAATGACATAGTTATAAAAATTGTTTTTTTAAAGTTCACACACAGTGAATTAGGAATCCCTGTTCTGGTAAGATGGGCAAGAGCTGTGTGAGGGAATAAATGGGGTGCAACGTCATACTTATACAGTTATGTGCCTCATGTGATATGCCCCACATCTGAACAAGAGTATTGTGAATTCACTGAGAAGGAAATACGCCCTCAGGTTCCTGAAGATTTTATTCTCCATTTTTAAGCCAAATGAAATAGGGGACATACATAAAGAACGCTTTATAATACCTTCATTACGTTGTTGTGTCCTTGTCATATTTCCGTGGCAGATCTGAAACTTTGTAGGCCATGAGATAGATTGACACTTATCTCCCTTAAGCCCTTTGGATAGACCATCCCATCAGGATGTGGGACCACTTTTGGTTTCTGATTATGTGGACTGTCACTTCACTTCCAAATAGAAGACATTAAAAAAATGTACAAGTATTTGATCCAAACTACAAATGCCTATGTAGGGAAAATATATACTACATGGACAGAAATCAAACTCTACTCTCATGCTTCCACCTAAATACCCACAATTGCCATGAGATTATCTTGGAGCTTTTAAGGGATACCTTTGGATATGAAATAAGACATCCAGTTTCACCACAGAGCCCCATCTCTTGCTAAAGCAGATAGGTTCTTTGACATAAAAAGGCATGAAGTAGAGTAGTGTCACCTTCCCTTAGTATTTCAGTGAAATAACTCAGTTTAGTTACTTAGACTTGCTGGAGGACAATTTTATTTAGTCACCATTCAGCAAAGCATCCAGTTGTTATTTGGTGAATTTCTGTAAAATTTAAAGTTATTATTAAAACTAAACCCTTCTATTTTGTATAATTTGGAATAGATAAAATATTGTCGAGTTTTGATTTTGTATAGTGAGCATACTCACCTCCTTTTCATGTAAAGCCATCACTAAATTATATAAGACAAAATTTTGGCTGGATAAGATTTTAGAAATTTTCAAAATTCTGAGGAGTAATTTCTTCTACTTTATGATAAATAGTTTTCAAATAGGTTTCATTTCTAAATTGATCAAAATAAACATACTCTTTACAAAATAAAGGTTTTAATTGATTTTTGTCTAGCTTAAGTTGGCCTACTATCCCCAAATAAATATCTTCTATGATTATAAAGTATATCATGTATGTATATATATATACATGTATACACATATAATAGGCATATTTGTATGTGTCATATATGGATGTGTGTATGCATACATACATATATATCCAACCTCAATAATCTAATCATTTTTGCAACTCCATCACAATAGGTTATAAGGATGGAGATCTGTTGTAACCAAACAGAAAAAACCTGGCTAACATCTAGAACAGGTAAAAACAATTAGCAAAGTCATGAATTATTCTTCTGTTTAGCCTTAAACAGGAAAACAACTCACTAGTTATATAATAGTTGCTTTGATGGCAAATGTTACCATATGAAATTATTCAGTGTTGAAATAGATTTTTAAAAGAAATCTGTTACAGTTAAAGAGAAGAATCCTGGCTGGTGTCCATAACAGGGAAGAACAATTAGCAAAGTCATGAATTATACTTCCATCTAGGCTCAAATAAGAAGACAAATTGCTAAAGTGACAGTTTATGCTATGATTGTGAGTATTAGCATGTGAACATGTTGGTTGAACCTCATATCCTGGTATGAAATAAAACACTAATTCAAACATTCTTCAGTTCAAAAATCACAGTTTCATTTATTAAAGATCACCAAAGGCCTGTAACCAAAGCAGAGTGGAACAGAACAAGCAACTAGTTATCTTTTTTTTTTCTTTTTTTAAAGTATAACCAGATGGATCATTTATGAATGTTATTTGTCCTTTCTGTCACTGTGTAGTATGACATAGCTGTCCAACCTCAATGCAGGAATTTGTCATATTTGATCTTCTCAAGGAAAAAATCATTCCACCACCCTCCCTAGTCCCTTTAACAATGGATTTGAATGTGTAGTTCTTTAGATGAAAAAAAAAAGTTTGTGTTTCTTGGAAGGCATACTATTAATATCCAGTCGTGTTATGTCTCCTCTGACATCTGATATGTACTTGATATTTTGACAGAAGGTTTTTGCTTCATGTACTAAGGCTTATTGACTTATGGGGTACAGACTGTGCCTATATGCAAATTAAATACCTATTTTCAAATTGTAAACCTCCTTTGTGTGTTCATTTCATTCTCCTCCTCTTGCCCTGTTAAATTCCTACGTCCTGGCCCCCACCCATCTTTCTAGCCTTTGCTGCCTCCCCCCCAAGATACCTTCTAAATCTCCTCACCACTGGCAACGACCTTTCCCCTCTGACTTCAGAGAACACTCGGTTTTACACTTTTTAAGTGTCCTCATCATACAATGTTGTAAACTATAATTATCTATTTGTATCTCATCCCTCTGTCAGACTGTAAGTCTCCTGAGGGCAGGCACTGTGTCCTCTCTAAACTTTATATATCCCCTGATGACATCTAGCATGGTGCTCTCCCTGCTGTAAGCACCTAATAAATATTTATAACATTTCAGCAAAACCTCCTCCCATAATTATGCATGGTTTCATTGTTAACAGAACTCCAAGCCCTCTATTCAGAAGGAAATCATTGGAAGAGTGGACTGTTGTCATCAGCTGTTACATGAAAAATTCCTTGTTTATTAAGTCAAAGGAGCACGTGTTGTGGTGATGCCCTTGGAATATGGCTCCAGAAGGGATGGATTCTGTGGCCAGTTAGCCCTTCCCTTGTAGGACTAGATTTGTGGTTGTAATAGTGGAACTTGAGCCAAGTGCCCAGCTCCCAAGACTCAAAGAGCTACCTGATCCATTCATTTTCTAATAATAATGATCTGAATCTTTGGGTTTCTCCTCCAGTAGCCATCAATAGCAGGCCCTCGGTGAATGCTGGATGACTTATTGAGATGTAAGGTAGTCTGTACGTGAAGCAGCTAAATGATATAGTGGATGGAGCACCAGGAAGTCAGGAAGACCCGAGTTCAAATGTGACTTTACACACTTGATTGCTGTGTGACCCTGGGTAAATCACCCTTTGTCTGCCTCAGTAAATGATGAGATTGGATTCAACTCCAAAGGTTCCTTCCAACTCTTAAATCTCTGATCCTATGGTATTATCAGGGGCAGCTAGGTGGTACAGTGGATAGAGTGCCAGCCCTGGAGTCAGGAAGATTCACTGAGTTCAAATCTGGCCTCAGACACTTCCTAGCTGTATGACCTGGGCAAGTCACTTAACCCTGCTTGCCTCAGTTTCCTCAATTGTAAAATGAGCTGGAGAAGGAAATGGCAAACTACTCTAGTATCTTTGCCAAGAAAACTGCAAATGGGGTCATGATGAGTCAGACAAGTCTGAACAAACAACAAACAGTGCTTTTATCCCTTCACACAACTTCAATTATCAGCTCTATGCAGATGACTGTCAGATCTAGATGTGTAGCCCAGATGTCTCCCCTAAACTTCAGTCCTTCATTTCCATCTGCCTGGAAAAACATTAATAGAATATTAAATTTACGACGTCTAAAATTAAGTTCATCATCTCCCCCTCCCACCAAAAAAAAAAAAACCCAAACACACACTATATGCATCTATTAAATATATTAAATGTTATTCATTCTATCATTAATCAATGCTTGGCACCCACCAAGCATTTATTAAGAACCTATTATGTACCAGGCACTAGAAATAAAAAGATAAAAAGACTAAGAGAAACAAAAAATTAGAACTCTACAGCTCTCTTATGTAATGCCCACAGTCTAGGTTGCTGATCTTTAATCTTGCTTCTGATCTGGGCCATTTCTAGCTAGACCAGGGGAGAATTCAGTCTTCCTCACTTATCTCACTTGGACCTCTTTTTCATACTCAGTCTTTTGTACATACCACTCATCACAAGCCATTCCAACCAACTTGTATAGAAATGTCACCAATATATAACTACCCACATCCAAAATTTCAGACACCAAAAATAATTTTGGGAGCAATAACCCTTTTTTTTGTGGTTCAGAAATACCCTTAGTAAGCTACTAGAATAAATTCTACAAAGTTTACCAACTTTTCTATTCCAATG